ATGGATAGGTGGACAGACAGGGGGATGGACAGGGGGATGGATAGGTGGACAGACAGGGGGATGGACAGGGGGATGGATAGGTGGACAGACAGGGGATGGACAGGTGAATAGACATGGGGATGGATAGGTGGACAGACAGGGGGATGGACAGGTGAATAGACAGTGGGGTGGACAGACAGGGGAATGGACAGGTGAATAGACGGGGATGGACAGGTGAACAGATGGACAGTTTTTTCCAGGCCTGACTTCTGAGCTTTGCAGCCTTCAGAAATCCAGCAGCCTTGTCTAAAGTAGCTCCTGCTTTTCAGGTGACCCACAGCGGGACGAGGAAGGTGATGGTGGTGAAGATCTACAAAAACGATGTAGACCAAGACAGCATCGTGAGAGAGATCAGCCTCCTGCAGAAGCTCTCACACCCAAATGTTGTCAGGTGAAAACGCTGATCTACTCTAGAGCTGAACCTCAGGCTGAATTCTAGAAACTTCTTCCTGTCCACAGAGTCCGATCCTGAGCTTTCACACTTTTTAATCCTGATAAAACCTCCTTTAATAAAGAATAACCCGCTAAATGTGAATAAATAGTGAGCAATGATTTCATTTTCACACTTAAGTGAAAGACCTGAAACTGTAAGTTGGTTTTTACCACCTTTGCTCTTCGTTCCAGATATCTGGGCATCTGTGTGAAAGAAGACAAGCTGTACCCGATCTTAGAGGTCCGTCGCTCTCCTCCGTCATCGTCTTTATTTGGTTCGTCTGTTTCCAGACATGATAATGGTTTTCCATCAGAAGTCAGGCTTTAATCATTTAATGTCAGAATGGAAACGTTAGCAGACCTCAGAGGGTGGCCTGATATCTCCTCCCTGCGTCTGACAGCTGATGGAACAACGTTCCCCTCAGATCCAAAGATGCATTTTGAACGAAGGAGAAGATGGAGGGAGGGACCAACAAACGGCTGATCGTTACCATGAAGACACGGAGGCTGGGATCTGCAAGGATCTCAGAAAAAAAAGATAGAAATAAGTTTAATAATTAGGGGTTGATCTATAAAGATTCCTGCTACTCGGATAAAATGTGTGAATGTGATATTAATGATATTATTGAGTAATAATATTTATACTGCACTTTATAAGTAGCTTACAGTGCTACAAAAAACAAAACAAAACAAAAAAACTTAAAGGTAAAAATAGCAGAATTTGGTGTCATGATCGGTTTTATGAATTTGACCCACATGTAGAGAAGCACTCAGAGAACGCCGGAATAGTTTAACTGGTTTACTGAGGTAAGAGTACAGGGGCTGGAACTGGAACTCAGTGAGCTGGTGAACCGGAACTGGAAGTGAGAAGGGAAGTGCAGGTCAGTTCAGGTACCATGGGAATCTTGGATGTTGTTAGATAATGCTGGTGAGGGACTAACGTTTGAGGGGGGCCTTGTCAGTCCTTGAATGCAATCTGTCTGGGATAATCAAGAGAATAGTGAAGACGTTGGAGGGCGGACAGGTACACAAACGTTGGACCCGGAGGAGTAATGGAGCAGACTGTCACTCGGATTTCCGATGGGAACTTGAACAGATCATGTGGAGGTTTTCCCCTGCTCAGCGTGAACTCTGCTTTCCTTCCAGGGGGAGAAGGTCCAAGTATTCAGTTAGACAGGAAGTCTTCCTGCCGAAGAAACAGAAACAAAAGTACATGAGTCTCAGAGAAACAACGCTTGGGTTAGACTCAGCTAGTCTCAGCTTGGCTAGAGGACCCAAAACTGGCAAACACTCTGGCGTCGAGGTAGTGGCAGCCCACTGCTCAAATACTCCTCCAGATAATGGTCCAATGAGCCGTAGGTGTGCAGGGAGGCCCAGTGAAGACAGGGCGCCACCTGGTGGTGGAGAAAAGGAAACACACAAACAGGATTC